GACGTGAAGAAGGGAGCAGGTTGCACGTGGGGAAAAAACGCGCCTGATTTAAATGTCACACCTGAACGCTCACATCCTTTTAATTATGTTTGAAATTATGAACATTGCTCAACATCATGAAAATTAAACCTTATTTTCAATAAGCAATCCTGAAAAATATGTGGGGGTGCTTAACTTTTTTCCAGGTGTATATAAGGAAACAAACCTCACTGTATTAAAATAGCTTTCCACTCTGATTGTAAATTCTTTAGAATTCGAACAAGTTTACTTCCTGTCGCACATTTTGTTTCCTTTGTTTTAATACCAAAGTTGTGTACTTTTGAGACGTTTGTCCATTACAATTTATTGTGACATATACAAGCGAAAAATTAATACGTTGATTAGTTAAACAATTTGTTAATTTTTGCTTTACCTAAGAAAAATGGCAGTGAAATTTCAAGGCATAATTTCATGCTTAACACTGTTTTTCATGCTTTTCAAATATGCATTTTAATTGTTTTGTACTGTTTTGTTGATGACTACTAATACTCTTATGGGTATTTTTAGTTTGCTCTCCTAGAGACTGTAACAACTGCCATCCTCGACAGCTTCCCGTTTCTCAGAGAAAAGAAGACATTTGTGGTGTTAGGTGTATCCATTTTTGGATTTCTGGGAGGTATAATCTTTACCACAAGGGTAAGTACTTTGGGAATGAATTATTGAAACTGTTTATACAAGCATTCGATAATGCTACTTAATTTCAACTACTAGTGTTATGCTTGTTTGCAGTTTACATTGTATTATTGTGTTATTTTTTAGCATGACTACAGAAATTTCTGTTGATTCATAAAAACAGTTTTACAAGAAAATAGTTATTTCTGGGTATTTGAAGAGTTATTAGTTATATCGCCTGCCCTTCGATGTGTCTGTGGTAAATTTAATGACTTACAACGTCAAAATCTGGGGTTTGATTATACGGGGTGGACAGATCGCAAATAAACCATTGTGTAGCTTTGCGCTAAATTACATAAAAAATAACAACTTGTATATGGAAGCACATTGTGCTTATATAACAGTAAATTGGCAAACGATGATTGGATGATTGATTGGTATATTTGGCATGGGTGAACATGCTAACATGCTACATGTTTCGACAGAAAGAAGAAGACAGACCAATCTCCTGTCAAAACATGTCATATGTTCCCTTCATTAAAACAACTTTATTATACTTATAAATCGTTAGGGCGCTCGACTCGCAATCTGTGGGTCGCGGGTTCGAATCCCCGTCACGCCAAACATGCTCGCCCTTTCAGCCGTGGGGGGCGTTATAAGTGATGGTCAATCCCACTATTCGTTGGTAAAAGAGTAGCCCAAGAGTTGGCGGTGGGTGGTGATGACTAACTGCCTTTCCCCTAGTCTTACACTGCTACATCAGGGACTGCTAGCGCAGATAGCCCTCATGTAGCTTTGCGCGAAATCCATAACAAACAAACTTATAAATCGTTATTTGTCAGTTATATCATCGAATATGAATATCCCTTCGCTCCTGCCATCTGTTGACAATATATAGAAATAAAATATATATTTTGATTTATTACATTTTTTATTAGGTATTTAATGTAACAGATTTTTACATGTTTCTACTATATATTTCAACAACAGACTCTCACGTATTGGTTACAAAGTATTATATGGTTCTTTTGTAATATATAAATATGGATTATATAAACTCAAAGTACCCTTACATTTATCATTAATAACGTCTTTCTCGTATGTTCATAGTTATTATCGTTCACGATCAACAGATAAATCGTAATCTTAAAATTCTTTCTGAAAGTTACAAAGCTATAACTCTTTGTTATCACTTACATTATTTACAAAATTAAAGATGTGACTCAGAAGTAAGTTAGTCCAGTAGGGATAGGTTTATATTTATTATAAGGTCACGATTGTATCATAAAGTCAGTGGTAGGTGTATATAAGCGTGTATTATACAATATAGTGTCATATCAACGTGGCTAAGCGCTGTATTGTGGTGTGCTTTTATATATTTTTATCACGTATTTAGCTCTTCAAACTTTTTCAACGTTTAACTATACGAGATACCTCTTTTTACAAACAATTTAGATTTTACAGCGAGTGATTTAGGTTGTGCGCGATAATTGTAATTTCTCTTGTTCTATAAATTTTGTTACTATGAGGAAATGACAGATTCGTTAGGATTAAACTTATTAATTCGTTTTGGGACTTTTTACCAAGCAAACTTTTAAAAACTTACAAAAGGCTTAATTAAGAGGTAGGAGACTTGAATTAGATGAAGTGTTTTTCAATATACGCAAAAATAAAGAAATTATTACGAAATTTCTTTCCTGTAAATTACCCACACCAAATACTAAATGTAAAAGGTTAGTGATAACCCTCGCCAAATAACAAATGTAACAGGTTAGTACCTACTCTGTAAAATACATTGCCCTCGCCAAATAACAAATGTAAAAGGTTAGTACCTACTCTGTAAAATAAATTGCTGTGTGAACATATATGACTGAAGTATCAAGAACAAAGATTGTTTGGTTATTCTTTGGAGAGTCTGTTTACACCTGAAGATCGTGCCTTTTTTATATATCTTAACGAACAGGCTATAAAGTTTCGAACAAACGATTTACAAGAGGTCATGACAAACGCTGACAATCCCGAGGAAAATAATTTTCAACAATGACTTTAAACAATCCACAGGATGTAAGTAACTCGGTAGCACCTTACTCAAGATGGAAACATTGACAGAGATAGATATACACTACTGGAAAGCTAACAGCTTCTTGTACTAAATGACTGCACTGATAGTACAGCCAGCAATATTAACGTGAACAGAACAAAAAGTGGCAGAGTTGAAAATGAGAATGCCTTTAAAACAGTTGGAATTAATCCAATACTGCAGGACATGAAAGACCAAAGAAAGCAATTGTTTGGTCCCCTTACACGATGGAGCCAAATCAGTAGCAGTAACAAGAACATTCAACAGTAGACTATTCGGCACAATGACGGAGTAATGGACGGGTGTAATGACTGAGGTGTTAAGACACCATGACGGACACCACCAGTCATGTCCAAGAAGGAAACCCGTGATACCACATGTAATATATGATAGACTAAAGAAGAAACAATCATAATTTATCTGAAAACCTTAACCTTCCCCATTGTTCAAAATTAGCTCTTGAACAATTCTAGCTGTTAAGAAAAAGTCTTAGCTTTTCTACTTTCTTGAAAAGAAAAACTCAACTGGATATTAAAAACTGGATTGAAGAGTGTTAGAGAAATATTCCAATGTACCC